CCTGAGGTTCATTTTTTTATAAAGGATCTGGTACCAGGTTTTCATTCAGCACTGAATTTTTCTATATTGTGAAATCCCATGCTATAAAAATAACTGATGTAAGTGAAAAAGAAAATTGGAGATAACAATACCTGAATTAGTTATTTAATTGGTGCTACCCTAGGAAAACGTTACTACAGGTCACCGCTTAAGAGCTGTCCTGTGATGCCACCGAATTCCCACAGGACTGTGGTAAACAGGAAGTATCCCCAGGTGACTGGCAAATGCTGAACTAAACATGTGAGTTACAGGTTTTGAGGCTCTGTAAGGATACTAATGCTGATGTACTGTAGATACAAATCTCAGTGAGTCTTAGAGAATGATGAAAAGGATCCAGTGGACATAACACCTTTCATAAAGAGAATTAGCAGTCTCACTTTTCATTTGAGAAAGATTAATGGTAAGGACTACATGTTTATCCACTCCTTAAAACATTTTAAAAGGATCCCTGCCTTTTAATACTAGAAAATTTTAACCTTGTTTATCAAGTCCCAGAAAACTTCGGGAGGAAACAGAGGCATAAAGCCAGCCCTTTTTCACCAATAGGAGAGCTGGATGTTTCTAGAACCAGTACAGTGCATGTCACAGCACCAGGAGCTCTCCGAGTGGACAGTGCCCCCTCTAACACCCAACACCCTCTTCTCCACAGGGCAGCAGGGGCTCTTTCAGCATCGACAGTGAGGAGTATGAGGCGATGCCTGTGGAGGTGAAGCTGCTTCCCAGGAAGCTGCAGTTCTTCTGTGACCCCCGGAAGCGAGAGCAACTGCTGCAGAGCCCAGCCCAGTGAGCAGAGGCGAGGGCGTTCCCAGACTGCACTTCAGGCTAGCTGTGGGACCAAAAGGGAACAGAGGATCCCAAGGGCATTTTCATGGCAAGTTACCCTGTCTTCCCCCAGCGGTGCTGTCCAAGTGTGCCCTGCCACCGTGTGCACATGCTTCATTTCCATGTGACAGTCCATCCCTCCTCCTGACTTTCCTCAGGCTGGGAACTTTGTTGCCTCCACAGTGGAGAGCAGGGTCCTGGGCCTGCTTAGGCTCCCCTACCCCCGCTGTGTCCTGTGACCGTCCTAGGGCTTCCCCAGCTTCTCTGCCCCTGCCGGGACTCCTTTCTGAGTGCTGCTGCTCTGAGTTTCGGTGCTTATCTAGCTCTTGTTCCAGTTTTGTCCTCCATCCAACAGCAAATGTGAGGTTGTTTCAACTATGGTTAAAATATTGTCAAATATTTTTTTTTAAAGCAATGTTTTTTCAATGTTTGTGTGCATGAGAACCTTCCCGGTGCAATGCATGTCGAAAACTAAGGGGCCCGCACCAAACCCCTCATCTGCCATGGGGCCCATGACTCTCCCCAGGGGAGTTTGAAAAGGGCCCCTCAACTTGAAGTGTTTTAAAGCAGAGCTCCACAAATGCTGTCTTCCCAAAAAGTATTGCGAAAAGTCATGTATTCTCACATCTGTGTCTACATCTTTCATGGGAAGTTAAATAGTTGCCAATATGTACTTTCTAAAGTTGTGTAAATATTGATGTTTTAAAATAATCTGTTACGTCACCCTTCTAAACATCCAGTGTAAACACCACAGCAATTGGAATCCTTCATTCTTTAGTCAAAAATTTTTTCTCCCTGTGGGTGTATTTCCATACTGCATTCAGCAAAAGAATCTGTTACTGTAATTGTTATGTAATTGGAAAAAGTATTAATTTTTGATAACTAAAAACATGTTAGTATGTTCTTTATCCTAATGAGTTCATTTACTCAATATATATTTTGGATGGGGGTTTCAACATCAATTATATTCCTTTTTTTGTTCTGAGCACTAAGTGAATGGGAAGAGAAAGCATTCTAACCATGTCATATAGTTCTTTGAATTCCTTTTGAATTAAATGGCAAAAAGCGCAGTGTTCTGTCATCAAAAGTTAATTTTCCACTAACTTGATTAGATCTTCCATTACCAAGGATTTGCCCGGTCACTGGAATCATTTATTTTCAATACTGCCATTGACATTTTCCTTTGAAGTTCTCCTCTAGAGAGCCTTGCCATCTAGACGGTGGACAGGACCCTTGCCTTTCTCTGTGAAGGGCAGAGTTAGGAGGGAGAGAGAGAGATCATCTTAGCCACAAGCTCTCCTCAGAAAGATCATTTTAAATACAGGGTACATAAACCCAGGTGTCCTCTGCAGAGTGAAGACCAGTGTTTTAATACATTATGTAACAGCTACAGAAAGCCCATTCATAATTCATAAGCATCGCAAAACACAAGCTATTTACCAGATGCTTAGAGGTGATATTAAAAGGTCTGCAAAGCTCTGCTTTAGCAAAAAAAAAAAAAAAAACACCAAAAAAAACAAGTGAGTCTAAACACCAGTAAAGGATCACCCAGCCCATGCCTCCCATGGAGGGCAAGAGGATGCTGTCCTATAAAAACTAATATATTGTGGTTCCATAACTGCAAGGAGATCCAGCACACAATCTGCCTTCTCTTAGTGTTTCCAGTGATTATAACCAAAGTGATGTGTGTGGCCAGGGAACATTTAATCCACATTAAGAATTCTGCTCACTTATAAATATGCTTTGTTTTGATTTTTGCTTTGACTCAGACTACTTCCTGGGTGGACTTGGTTTCCTCACTGACTTCCTCTGTCCTTCCACACAGTACCCACATGAGAGCCAGCTTGTCAGCCAACCTGCGGGCTCAGCTGTGCAAAAGAGAACGGGGTTCCTTCCTCTTTGGTACAAACATTTTGGCAGATTAATTTCACTCAAAGGCTACAGTTATTTCTACTGAAAGTACTTTCTATAAAATAGTTTAACATAAAACTTTTTCCTTTGCTCCAGTTACAATGACTGAGGGCCAGTGCTTTACACACGCAACAGTCACATCAGTTCTCACAAGCACCCCGCCCTCAGGAAATACATGGTCACGCACCTCAGAGAAGGCACCTGGCTTTGCACACTGGCCATTTGGTTTGACATCCAGCAGCGGTAGCAGCTGACTCTACATTGGTTTAAATAATTAACTCCAAACAGGTTAAAAGTGGAAACCAAGTTTAGGCTGTATGTACTCACATCTATACTCTGTAGAGACTTGGTCAGATTCTGGGAAACAAAAGGGCTTTTCCTAAAAGTCGCCTGATGTGATTGAGGGTGCGCAGCCCTGGCTCTTCTGCTGCAGTATCCTCAGCTCTGGCTTCCGGTACCTGGAGAGTGTCCAGACAGCAGCGGCTCCTGGCTCCCTGGCCACCTCCGTCTGGCCCCGGGCTGTAGCCCTCATGCCTTCCTACCCCAGCCCACATTCTTGGGCTAGGCCAGTGGTCACAGCACACAGGTTCATGTTAAAATGTGCACTTTAATTGTAAAAATTGGTTTCTGTAAATGTATCAACCTCTCTGCACACCACTTGATTCAGCTATATACAGATATGATATACACAGGTATGAATTGTACCACAGAACAAGATCAGGCTGAGAAACATTTAGTCTCAGGAATTAAACCCAGCTTTTTTCAGGCCTTTATGTTACCACTGAAAACAAAGTATCTTTCTGATTTCATCACATGAGGTAAAAACTTGAAACAAAAGTAGGTTCAGTTTTTCTTATTGCTGTAATTCTTAGGCTGGGGTATTACTCAAAATAGGGTTTTTACATTTAAGGCAACAGAGAACTATACTGATCCTAACTTGGAAAACCTAGGAAAACAGGTTTGCCAAGGTTACCATGATTTTTTAGGAAAAGTTTCTATCCCAGATTATACAAAAATTTAGTCAACAAGCTTTGGGTAAAGGAAGTTCGCTTTGTGTCTTCTCTGAGCCCCTGAAGTCCTTGTCCAGGCTGTTCAGAAAGAAGCACAGTGTCTGGAGCATGTCCTTTTGGGGACGTGCTAGACTCATTTCTCTTAATGCCTCTCAGTATTTTTTTTGTACTTTATCTTTGGTTGATTTACCCAAAGAAAGGAATTTTCACTCTAATGTTAAATCTGTTTGCAACCAGCTAACTCAGTTACCTGTGTGTGGATTTTTCATTTTGTGTACCATCTCTGGCCAATTTATAATGCCTTACCATACCCCCACCCCCCATACCCCTACTGTCCCCAGAAAGCAAGGTGCCTTCTGTAGTAAAGAGAAGTCACACCTATCTACTATAGTATTAAATAAACCTTCTGAATTTAGGTCACACTACTTCTAAAAGCCCATGTTATACTGAAATTCTACAATAAATTCTAAAAAAGTGGAACCAGGGATTTATTTTTCCATCTTCATTTCTCTACAGAGTACTAGAAAATTCCTCTTCCCTTTCCACATTTGTAGCTTTTCTTGCTTCTAAATTCCAGCTCCCAAAATGAATTAAAGTGCCATTTATAAGACGACCTCCAATTCCCATCTCTCTCCAGTTGACTGAGAACCTGGTAATCAGAGCCATCCCATGTACCCTCTTCTGTCCTACAGGTCTCCTTAAGGCTGGGTAACTGCTGTGTGTCCTCCTTCCTGGACTGTCATGTTCACCTCCTGGAGTGCTGCGAAGACCACACAGTACAATGTCCTTATTCACTCTGAACATTTACATTGTAAAGCTTGTAAGGTCTCAGCCACCACCAAATTACAAAAGGGCCCATTTCTTCTAGGATTATAGTTCTGAATTTCCTTCCACTTTAACATCTTGATACTCAGTTCATCACATAGCAACACTGATATAAAAATAAACTTCCATTTCTTCTAAAAAAATTGACTTAATTCACAGTTAGCCTTTTCCCACCATACTTGGTGCTCTAGTAGGTCCTGGGAACAGAGGTATATTAGCAATCAAAATGGGGTATGAAAAAGTCCGTGACTTGGGAGTAAAAGCAGCCCTGCACTCCTCCGCTCCTGCTACCTGAATCAGAAAAGGGTTTTCCTGAAATGGGAAGAGATGGGACTGGGCCTGCTGAGGTGAGCCTGTGGCTCTCAGGATTCTCACCCAGGGTGTAACTGAGGAATGGGGAGGGGAGAGGAAGCCCAGACATCCGGGATTCCAAACTTGCCACCCTAGAACCTCATGGACACCCAAGCCTGTGGAGGGATTCTTGGTCTCCATAGTACTTTTTTTTGCCTGTTTTCAAACTCTTCCCCACTCTAGGACAAGGTCACTGTTTTCATCCATCCACTCCCTTGGTTGTGCAGTTTCAAAGGGAAATACACAGTTCCTAACCTCCCTGCCTCTTCTTGGAGGTTAATATCCTGCTACAAAAAAGTTAATTCATTATCACCCTTTACAAAAAGTTCCCTGAAGGCCTCAGTGGAAAAGTGAATAATTTCACTTTTTATTGTGTTAGGAGAGCTTCCAGTGTATCAAGACAAAATAGCAAGTTCACCCTCCTGGCCACCAGAATGCAAACAATGATTTACCTATGGGTTAATTTACCTTTTATCTTCTAGCTAAAATGCCATAGGTAGTTACACAATAAACAAATCTTCACGTAGCATTTGGTACCATCTGCACCTGGGTGCTCCTTTTACCTTTCCCATCTTGATTTTCATCTGGTTTATAACAAACACTGATGCAGTTGTAATTCCTAGGCTAAATCACTTCTGTCCATATGGCAATGAAGTAGGCTGCCCTCCCCTGGCCAGATGGAAGAAGAGGTCCCAGAATGGATGGTGGGCATGGGAAGCAGACGGCTTCCAACTCACTGTACTGGTAACTGAGGACTCACAGGCCCCAGGGGGACACTGACATCAGAACAGGTCCACACCAGGCTAAGGAAGGCTCCATGTTCAAAGCCAAAGCTGATGCTAAGCAATGATTTGGTGTATACTTTTAAGACTGGTAGGAGATAAGCCTTACTATTTCTGACTCCTTCTGGAGAAAGAGTCCTAGGCCAGGCAACAACTGGCCATTGCCCCAAAGGCTGAGTATTTGCAGCTGCTGAGCCTTACAAAATTAAAAACATCCACTTTAACAGGGCTTTGTCATAGTCAACACGGACACTGACAAATCCTGGCTGCCAGTTCCCATACAGATTCTTGCCACCAGCAGTCTCCTCTAACTCAGGGATGTGTGGGCAGACCCCGGGTCACAGGTTGGCAAGTGTTCTGGGTGAGCACATCCTTTGAAGTGTGGCACAAAGATGGGGACTAAGCCCGCTTGGGCAAGGGCGAGATGAGGGCTACCTGCCTTGTGGGAAGACTCACACCGAAAGCTCCCAGCCCAGCTCCCACAGGTCAGCGTGAGAATAATGCTTGCTCTTGGCGAGCTCACAGGCCCGTCAAGGACATTCCCCCACTTCTTTCCAACAAAGGCAAATGACCTTTCTGCAAATATTTCAAGAGTGACAAAAAAGTGGGTCCAGGTGGCATCTAGATTCTACTGTCCTACAGAGAGATTCCTAACACTTCACAAACAAACCCTTTATGGGGACTGGCAGCAAGTGGCACTGGGTTGTGCCTGCTGGCTCTGCTGTGGGGAGCACAGCCTGGTACTAAGCGAGGCTTCAAAGGGTGACCTCAGAAGCCAGAGGCTTCTCGGCCCAGGCAGACATCTCGGGATGTGAACAGTGCGGCACAGGATGGTGAAGAGCTAACACACGCAGTTCAGCCAAGCAGAGGCTCTGCACCAGATTTCTGGTCTTGGATGGAAGGAAGCTGGCAAAGCAGGGGAGGACTGAGGGAGAAGTTCTGTTCTGGGTCAGCTGAGCCCAGCCCTGCAGTCCCTCAAGCATGAAGGACACAGACAGGTGACAAGATAGCTGCCTGGTTAAAAGGCACCCACACACCCAGACTCACCACTTAAAGGAAAACCCAGGAACGTCTTTGTTACCCTTGCTGTCATGACATCAGCATGTCTGAGCTCACAGCAGAAGAGCACAGGAAACAAGTGTCCACATGCAGAAGGCCTTGGGGTAGAGGGGCTTGGTAACAGGGTCCTTCTAGCAGATCTCCCGGCTCTAGAGAAAGAGGGTCTGCCTGGGTTCCCCAGGAGAATCAGGCCCTTCCTTTCACCCCCATCCCTGTCTTCAGCCACCCACCCCTAACTTAAAAACCCTGAACCTAGATACCACTACAAGTATCCATTACTTGACCCAAGTGAGCAAGCCCTCCTCAGCCTTGTGAAGGCAGAAGAGTATTTGCCCATAAAGGGAAAAACCGTGACACTTCAGCGGCTAAACACAAATGTGTTTTCTTTAGTAAAGGTGTTACTGGAATGATGTCTAAACTCACACTGCACAGGAGTGTATTAGTTGTACAGTTCACAGTTCAATACCCAAAATTATTTATATATTTACATAAGAGGTGTACCTTGCTTAATCAGTGTTTCTTTGCATTTCCACACATGAATTTCTTCACTCTTGAATTCTGTACCAAGGAGCCGCAGTGAAAATACTTTTGAATTAAGTAAGAACTTGAAACAAGCCATGTAAGACATGTGATCCATTCGTTTGAAGGTTATTTCTCTCTGCTGTGTAATTAGCCTGGCTTGGGCACAGACAGTGGGTACACTGATGGCTACTCCAATAACAAGAGCCAGGCAGGAAAGAGGAAGGGGAAGAGATTATTTGTGTTGTTTTTTTTTTGGTACCGGGGATCAAACTTGGGACCTTGCGCTTGAGAGGCAGGTGCTGGAACCACTGAGCTAAATCCCCGGCCCAGAAGAGATTATTTGTTACCAATAACCCAGGGTCCCAATCCTAAACTCTACTCATGGGAGCCGGCTTTCAGACCATGGTTACCACCTACCCTCTGACCTCACCTTGCAGTCAGCGAATAACCCAGCTCAAGAGAACGGGTGGGTGACTACAGTACCCACCCCAGACAAAAAGCATTTCACTGGAAAGCAGGTAACAACACTGTGGACCCTTGGATTCCTGACCACTTTCCTGTGGGAAGGCACTGCTTGACTTTCTAACAAATCCATTAGGTTAGGACCCAGTTACTTAACCCAAGGAATGTTGCCTCTGCCTCAGAGAAGCGTGTGAGAGCTGCACATGTACACAGTCCTGTTAACACAGCATGCTCTAGCCTCTGAGTCAACTGGCTCAACCAGGTCCTGGCTAGACTTTCCAGTTCCAGGGGATCTATCTGGTCCAAAGGAGCTGCTTTCAGTGCCCCCAGGGAATCCTCATCAAAGTGGAGAAACTCAGTTCTTCTGCAGCCCCCCTGAGCATCCACTGTGCCACCCCCTGCAGATACCCAGGTTACTAAACTATAAAATCAATTTACTCACATGCTGCAGGGCCTAGCCCTTAGGATTCACCAGTCCCTTGCAAGTGGAGGGGATTCACAGGAAGAACATTACACTGAGTGGCCAATGGTCACTACCTTTGCAAAGCTCATATTTGGGGTCAGAAACATCCTTTTGTCCCTCAGTGGTCCCTTCTCAAGTGAACAGAGAAGACACAGACGTGCCCTATTGACAAGAAAGGGGGATTTGATCCCAAGGCTACTACTGACTCCTTGAACCTGATGACCTTGAAAGGTCATCTGGGTTTCTGCCTTTGGGCAGATGAATATCTAAGGCCACACAGGACAGATGTTTGTCATATTCCTGAATGCACAAGAGTCAAAGCCAGGCTTTCTGGGAGTCCACCCTAAAGTTTCCAGAGCTTGGCTCACTCCTAGGGACAAACCTTCTAAGACCAAACCCAAAGACCAGCCGCTCTGGGAGACAACGTAGATTCCCATGTGCTAGCAAAGCAGGCTGCAAAACCAAGGCCGTCTTGCCTTACCTCTAGACAAGAAGGGGAGGAAGGAAACTGCAAAAATCACATTTGTTGGGAAGTATAAACCATCTTCCTTTGTGTCAACTGAATTAAAAACCAGGCTGACGGGACCTGGAGTGTGCTCCTGGCTGCAGTCATCTCACGTGAGTGGCTCACCAATCCCGTGTCACTCTTCCTATGGGCAACAAGGGTTGTCAATGACCAGCATGACATCAATGCCGTAGGCCTCCAGCAGGTCCATAAGAAAGCTCCGGTCCCCCTGCGGGTCCAGGCCCATGCCGCGGGCATGTTCTGCTGTCAGAGTTTTATCCTGACTGGCGGATACCTCCAACAGAGTCTGAAATATCCGGTTGTTTTGCTCTAGGAAAAACCTACATGTGCAAGACAGGAAAGGGAGGGAAGGAAAGACAAAGAGCTCACCAGATAATCCACTAAAGAGCCACCCAATCTATACAGTTTTGTTTAGTATCCTCTTTTTTTTTTTTTTTTAAGAACTGGGATTGAACCTAGGGCCTTTTAAAAAAATTTTTATCAATACATGTGTGTAGCACATAATGATTATACTCATTGTGGGGAGTGGTACATGTACAGAACACATCTTAGTCTTTTTATTCCCCTCCTTTGCCTCCCCTTTCTGTTTCTTGATCCCTTTCCCATTTGAAAGGGATCTATCTCCCTGTTTCCTAGCTATATCCCCAGCTCTCTTTATCTATCTATCTGAGACCGGATTTCACTAAAATTGCCCAGGCTGGGCTCTAATTTGAAATCATCCTGCCTCAGCTTCCCAGAGCACTGGGATTACAGGTGTGTGCCACCATGCCTGGTTTAATATTCTTTTGAATGGCTTCAAAGATAAAAATCTTTTAAAAGGAGAAAATGGTAAAAGTTATGTAGTTATTAAAGTCATACTAAGGTTAGCAAAGAAGCCATCTGGCATTAAGCACAAACTGGAGAAATCTCTGAGCACAATGTTTGACTGCCAACAGTTTGTTTTCCTATAAGCAGTAGCTTCCTAGAGGTTTGAACACAGCTTTAGGGAGAGGGCCCTACATACTGCTTTCCTCTTCTGCTTAGTCATCAGGGAGGAGAAAGTTACAACCACAGAGCCTGGTACTGTGGTTCTGAGGTCAAGTGGGAAACTGAAACACACCTCTCAAAGCTTGGGTAGGAGCCTCCCCAGAGAACAAGGGGCTGTGCTCTGCTCCTAGGCCACTGCAGACAGCCAGGGGCTGACATTCCACACAGAAGGGGGCGCTCAGTAGACTGGGGCAGCCACAGGCAATGCAGAAACCAGCAGTGCTGGGAGACAGGGTGAAGGAGAAAGGGAGGCCAGCCATGGCCACCGAGATAACACAGCCTGCTGTGTCCCTGGGTGTCCATTCTTTGATGGCTCTTGGGGTGGCAGTGTTGTGCACAGAGCAAGGATTAAAAGTCACAGGTCCAAAGAACTGCAGGATAGCCATGTGCTATCTAGTCTTTTTTTTTTTTTTTTTTTTTTGTACCTGGGATCGAGCTCAGGACCTTCCACTTGCAAGGCAGGCGCCGGAATCACTGAGCTAAATCCCCGGCCCAGCCTGTGCTATCTAAGCCATGCTGCTCAGAGCTCCTGGGAAGGGCAGAAGTGCCTAGTCCCTTGAATGGCTCTCGGTGCCCAGAATTTCAGATCAACTCATGACGAGACTATGGCTCTGCACTGTTCCTGGACATCTGCATGTCTACACTGCATGTGTGCATGAGGTAGGATGGTGTGAGAACCAGGACATGTCCATAGTGCTAAGCCAGGAATGGTCTCTAGTGCAAGCATTGCCAACTGATCCCAGCACGTAGGGCAGGAAGAGCAAACAGGAAGCTGGGAGCCTGGCCTCTGTTTCAGTTACAATTCTGTGTGTATACAGAACCATTTCACATGGCTGCTTACAAATGAAACCAGTGAGGTGCAAAGGCACAGGGCCCTGCCCCGACCACCAAGAGATTCCGTTCAACTTCTTAGGCTATCCCATAATACTCAGTGCAAGGAACTGTTCTATTTGGAGGAAGCAATTCTGAGATGTCCCCAAGGGACAGAGCGAGCTTCTACGTGGTAGCCATCCTCAACACCCAAGAGCACACACTGGGCTCGTGTTTTCTCTCAATGACCTGCCCCTGCCTCTTTCCTCAACTCCTCTGGGTCCCGCCTACTGGCCTTCTGGGGCTCAGGTTGCCTCTGCAAGGAGCCCAGCTCTGGCAGCAATAAAGGACATCCCTAGCTGGGTGTAGTGCCACATGCTAGTAATCCAGCACTCTGGGAGGCTGAGGTAGGAGGACAGCAAATTCAAGCCCATCCTGGGCAACTCAGCAAGACCCTAAGTCAAAACAAAAAATACAAAAAGGGCTGGGGATGTAGCTCAGTGCTAAGACCCTGGTTCAATCCCCAGTATTGCAGGGGGTTAAAAAAGAAAAAAAGGCCATCCCTGAACTGCAGCGGGTGACACTGGAGGGACCTGGGTCATCCAAAGGAGTTGGTGCTGAAGGGATCCTCAGCCCCACAGCCCCTGCGTGGGCTGACTCACAGCACAAAGAGGTCCTCTTCACAAGGGTTGTAGTCTTCCTCAACCTCCTGGGAGTACAACAACATCTGCCTGTCAGAAAGGAGATCACTGTCAGGTGCAGTACAGCTACAGGACCCCAGACACAGGCCTGGCAATGCAATGGGTTTCACCCGACGGGAAGCAGCATCAGTCAGGGCAGGTCCCCGCAGCAAGTCAGGGAGAGAGGGGCCAGCAAAGAAATTAAAGGGCATGGGTGGACTCAAAACCCTGGGGTCACGGCCAGCTTTGCCCCTGGGAACCTCAGGCAAGTGACCATCTTTCTTAATTGTCCACTGACTGGGTATGTCAATGGAACCAGTTACCTCACAGGACATGCAGACCATCGAGAATCACGTGAGATTCTGGCAGAAAGAAATCACGCACATGCATCTCCCTCCCCGCTTTGGGCCCTGTGCAGGGAGCCCGGCGCCTCTTCGTTTCTATCTCCCAGCCAGCATGTGCACCTCGGGGAAGCACCGTGAGAAGAGCAGCAGGACAGGCTGCAAGGAGACCCCCAGGGAAGCCCAAGAAGAGCAGGCACTCTGACCCCTGGCTGTGCCCGCATGCAGCCCCACCTCTGCTCGTTGAGCCGCCGGTACTTCTCCCTGTCGGCACTGTTGATCTTCAGCAGGGGCTGCAGGTGGTCGTGGTGGGTCTTCACATTCTGGTTATCCACGTAGACATCGTACAGCTCCTGCTTCTCCTCGAATATCTTCTCTGTGGTGCCTGTGGAACCCAGGATGAAGGGGGCAAGAAGCCTGAGGGGTCACTGGGGGGCGGGCTGGACCCCACAGGGGCCAAGAAGGTCAGGAGCCCAGGTCTGGGGGAGGGGCTCAAACACAGGGTCAGGAGGATGGAGGGCTCCATACTCACAGGCCACATAGGACACCTCCACCTCTAGGCTCTCAATGTCGGCCACATTCACATAGAAGAAGGGCTTGGACTCGGGGATGGCGCCCCCAATGCCCGGCAGCGAGACATTAGCCAGGCAGCAGCAGCAGTACACTGTGGGGAGCGAGGAGGTGAGAGGAGAGACTGCCACGCCGTGCCCTCACCCACCAGAGCCTGCTGGTCTGCAAGGAAGCTGCTACAGTTTGGGTGTGGTCTGTCTACCCCAAAACTCCGGCTGAGGCCTGCTTTCATGTACAATGGTGCTGAGAGGCAGTGGGGCCTTACAAAGGACTTTAATTATGGGGCCTCCAGCTGCATGAAGGGATGAAAGCGATTCTGAGGAGAGCGGGTCAGCTATCCTTAAGCAGGGTCTTCTAGAGCAAAGCTGGAACTTCCTCCCTCTCTCCTCTTCCTGTCCCTCTCCTACACATGCCAGCTTCTGCTCTTCCACCATGAGGCCATGAGCCAGAAGCTGAGCAGATACTGACACCATTCTCTTGGACTTCCAGAGCATGAACCAAATAAACCTCTTTCTTTATGAATCCCTCAGCTGCAGGCATTTTATCACAATAACAGGAAGTGGACTAATCCAGAAGCTATGGAGGACTCTGCTTTGTGCCCCCTAGAATGCCAGTGACCCCAACCTGGTGGCCCTGCCATCCATCCTTGCCATCCATACTTCTCCCTTTGTCTCCTCACCCTTCATAATCTTCACAACCCAATCACACCAGTTGTGTCCAGTTTATCTTCTTAAATTTTTCCAGAATCCATCTTCTCTGCTTTAATCCTGATCCAGCTCTCACCAAGTTACCAATGTGTCCTCCAATCCACTTTTTCCCTTGCTTGCACACCAAGACCCCACCTTCTAAAATACAAATCCAGGGCCAGGGATTTAGCTCAGTGGTTCTGCCGCCTGCCTCGCAAGCACAAGGTCCCAAGTTGGATCCCCGGTACGAAAAAAATGAAAAATAAATAAATAAAATAAAATACAAATCCAATCAGGTCACTGCCGGGCTTAAATACTCGATCCCCTTGATATGGCCCAAATTCTTCCAAACTTGGTGAAGAAGGAAAGACTCGGGCAATTTCTGTTCTGGGAACTTAGGAAGAGCCTGACTGTGGCTTTTGCTTACCTCTATAGCACACAATGCCCACAGGTGGGGGAGAAAATATCAAAATACGCTTCCGGAGTAAGGCAAATTTCCAGAGGATGAGGATCTGCTCTCCAAAGAACTTAATAAACTGAGACATGCAGCCAGCTGGGTGTGTGATCTGAAAGCACAAAAAGGGAGAGGGGGGAAGGTGGGAAGAGCTTGTTAGAAATATCACTGTACGGCCAGGAATTTAGCTCAGTGGTTCTGCCGCCTGCCTCGCAAGCATAAGGACCCAAGGTCGATCCCCGGTACCAAAAAAAAAAGAAATGTCACTGTAAAAACTATTCAGTGTAGCTATGTGCTGAACTGACACACCCACCCCCTAAAACCCCCAAAACCAAAAAAACAACAAAAACAACTACAAACAGATGCACTAAGGGATGGATACTTTGTACAAAATGTTTGTCACTTTACGTCTTATCTTTAAAACTGGGTTTCTATGATGCAAAAGATCTGTGGTACACTGAAGTTTGGGTTTAAGTATCATTAACTCCTTTAGAGAAAGAGATACAGAGGAAACAAAGCTGAATTTAATTCTTTTAACAACCAGAAATAAAGGTATGTCTGAAGAAACAGCCTCACTGACAAGTCACTTCCAACACTTCATTGGGCACTGTGAGGAGTAAAACGGGGCGCAGTCTTGGATTAGATAGCCACAGAAACAGGAACTTCTGCACACCACCTGGGATCAGGCAGGCAAGACCCACAGGGCCTCCCAGCCCAGCCCTGCCACACTCCAACTTTAACCAACTTCTTACCAAGGCCAACTGCAGAGGCTGCCAACCCCCGGGGCTGCCTTCCAGGCGGGAGACCCTTGGGGATAAGAGCATAAGCTCAAGGAATTCCAATCCGGACCCTGCCATTTACTAACAGGGAGCTCAAGAGAAGCTAAGCTCAATTTTCTAGTTCGCTTTTCTCATCTGTAAATTGGGGAGAGCATTACCTATGGCTAGAATGAGACAAAACAGGAAATATTTAGCAGCTAAGAAGAGCCCATATGTGGTGACCACTAATGTCACTGACAAAACAGAGGCTTCAAACCAGGTGCCTTGGAAGTGTTTCAGAAAGTCATGTCCATGCTCAAGTGTCAAAAGTTAAGAGCGGTCACCTCCTACCAGGGATACAGGCAAGAACAGTTCCGAAGAGCAGTGGCCCTACTAAGGCCGCATGGGGGTTTAATGATGGAGAAGGCTGGGGGACCACACAGCAACCTGAGGCAGCTTCTAGGCTCTGCCAGTCCAGACCAGGGCTGCCGTCAGCCCTCTGAAGCTGCACCTGGACCACCTGAGAGAGCATGTTCCTGTCCAAGGCACTGACCCTGAACTGATGCCATTCACTTGCCCAGTGCCAGGAGAAAGGCCACCCCACCCTGAACACGCCTGCCTGGGACCTCCTTTGGTCTATTCCTTTCTCCCTGTATCCCAGATCACCAAGTGACTTAGCCTGGTCAGATCCTCCAATCACTATCTCTCATCAAATCAACCAGAAGCCAGACAGGAAGGAGCCAGAGCACGACCCATTTTCCCATGCCTCCCTGAGCTGTATTCAAGCCCTAATCATGTGTCCCACTGCGAGGTGGCCCGGCAGGGTCAGTACCGGTGTCTTGGGCCTAGAAATCCTAGACTCAATGAATGATCTTTAATCAGTTCTGACCTCATTTACAGGTTCATTCATGGACACATGTGTCCTGCTATGGCTAGATCTAAAATGTGCCCTAAAATCTGTTCAGAGGTGGGTGACTGGATCATGGGGGTGCTATCAGGTGCTTTCATGCATCAGTGGCTTGATCCACTGATGAGTTCACAGCTAAACATGTATTCATAGCTAAGTGGGGCCTGGTTGGAAAAGTTCCGTCATTGCAGATGTAACTTCGGAGGGCACACCTCTCTCCCTAGGCCTGCCTTTCTCTGCTTTCTGGGTGCCATGAGGTGAGCAGCTGTTCTCTGCCAGGCCCTTTCACCATGCCATTCTGCCCTGGGGCCAGCTAACCATGGACTGAAACCCCTGAAACTGTGAGCCAATATAAACCTCCGCTAAGTTGCGACTATTAGGTATTTTGTCCCAGTGAGGAGAAAGTAACTAAAACATATGCGCCCATTCAAGAAGTATCTCTTAAGTGCTTACTTTATGCCAAAGCACCAAGTATTCTACTTCAAACAATGAACAAAAAACACCCAGTCCCTGCCTTCATATAGTTATAGGAGAAACAGAGAAGCAATTAGAATCCAGCCTGGTGAGTGTGGGAGATGGACAGGAGGGGTGGGGATGGACAGTTGGCAGGGGCCTGATTCCATTCTGGGAAGATGGATACTTCCTGGACATCTGAGCTTCAACATAAAGCACGAAGCTGTGGACAGACCAGCACAAACATGGGCCTGGAGATTAGGAGGGAACTGCCACTTCCTGTAAGCTGCCAGCAGTTCAGGTGACTTTCACAGCTGTCACCTTCCTCTGGGGCCTTCCTTTTTCATACAAGCAAGCACAGCCCCTACTCCATACTTTATCTTGCCCTCGGGCCACATGTGCATTCATAATCTAGTGTACATCCATTCTTGTTTCTCAGTGTTCATTCATGCATGTTTGAGTACCCCTATCTGTATCTATACCTGAGACTGTGATTAAGTGTGATCATATCATTTTCTGCATGACCTGGCCGACCTTCCCTGTCAATTTCTTGTGCCCTAATTCATTATTCACAATGGCTTCTTGCTCTATGGGGATCCTAGTTTTCTCTCTCTCTGAACGGTGTGGAATTAAACATTCTTACACACATATCACCTCAGTGGTTTTTTTTTTTTGGTACCGGGGATCGAACTCTGGTCCTTGCGCTTGTGCAGCAGGCGGCGAAACCACTGAGCTAAATCCCGGGCCCTGGCCTCAGTGGTTTTATAGATAGGGTAGATCCCAAGGAGTGAGATAACTGAAACAAAACAAACATACACTTTTAATTTTACTATGTTGGCATGTTGTTTTTTTATAAAGACCATACATACTTATATTTGCAACCTACTCAAGTACCTTTTTCCCTGTATCTCCTAGTATAGGTATGTTAATGAGCCGCCCTTGACACGGGAAAAGCATTTGGCAATTTTCCTTTTTCTCTTTTTGAACGTCCTTCCTGGCCTCCATGGGTGAGGAATCCAGAAACATTTGGCAGATGCTGGTCATCTTCCTCTGGGTTTGAAGACAGCCCAGAAGCAATTTTGCTCAGAATGACGAGTGAGACGCAGACTGACAACTTTCAGATCAATACAAGCCTCGTATTCCCTGAACCAAACTCTGACCATTTCTTGTCCTCTCTTAGCCAATACCAGGGGGTTGAGAAATCTGCAGATTGCATTTCCTGGACTCCCATGCCAACTGGCTGCCTGTTCATTTCCTCTAATGGAAGTCAATGAGTGCAGGCTGGAAGGCAGGAGGAAGGGAGGAGTTCTCCTTAGTCTCTACCTCCTGTTGGTATTGCGCTAACAGGAGAGGACTCCTGGCTCCAGCTTGCAGCTTTTCTCAGCCCTCTCAGCACAAGCTGATCCATGCCTGAAAGGCACCAGCATCGGAAGCCCAGTGCCTCCCCAGAGATCCAAGCTTGAGCTAGCAGTGTTCCCCCATCCAAGTTCCCATGGTACCGATAATGACTCCTCTCCCCCTTTGCCACCCTGGCTCTGAGTGTGGCAGGTAGCCTCGAAGATAGCCCTAATGATTCACCCACTTAAGTGTTTACAACCTCATACACTTCCTGCTTCCTCTTGAGTAATTTGCTCCTAACCAAAATAATACGGCTGCATTGCAGACATTACTTCGATTAGGTTACAAAAAATTCTGATTTACATCCAGTTAGCAGGATTGTCTCTCTTGCTGGTTTTGATGAAGCAAAGCTGCCAGATTAGAGAGACTCACATGGCTAAGAACTGAGGTGGCCTCCAACCACCACTAGGGTGCTGAGGCCTTCATTTAATCTAATCCTGCCAATGAGCTTAGAAGTAGATATTTCCCTGGCTAAGCCTTCCAATGAGGCTTCAACCCTGGCTGACACCTTGACTGCAGTCTGATGAAAGACCATGAAGCGGCAGGCCCGGATGAGACATGCCTGGACTCCTCACTCACAGAGCCTGACAGATAAGAAATACGTACTATTTTAAGCTTATAATCTCGGTGTGATTTGTTATGCAGCAACAGATATCTAATACTGGGTGGCATACATATCCCTGTGTGCTCCGCTGGTCTTCTAAGTTCCATATTACTTATTCCCTATATTAAATTAGTTTCAAATACCTATCACGGTCTCTGTTTTCCTGATAAGACCCTACTTATCACTTAGGGTTCAAATTCTATGGTCTAGTATTTAAGGTTCTCTCCAATTTGATTCCACCCTATTTTTTGAGTCTTTTCTCTTACAGTCAGGTTGCATGAAAATGTAATCTTAAATGAGTTCACTCATGACTCATAAATGTGTCTTGTGCTTTCCTTTGTCCACGTCTCTGCAAAGGCAGTGAAGTAAGGCAAAGAGCAATGAGCACTGGCTTTGGCACACACTTTGTGTTTAAATCCTGGCTCTGTGAAGCAAGTCAGTAAGCCTTTATGAGCCTCCATTGCTTTACCTGAAAAACAAGGAAGGAAAAAAAAATTTTTAAGAGTGTTGTAACAGGTACAGATAAAGAGCTAGCATATTGCCTAGCTCAGAGAAGGCACTCAGAAAGCAGCAGACCATGCCTTTTACTACTGCACATGCCTTCCCTCAGTCTGGACTCAGCATCCTTCACTTTCCATTGAACCAAATACAAACTTCAAAGATCAACTCCTTTCAAGATGCTTTCTCCCTTAGACTCATGCATAATTTCTCTCCCAGGGGAGCCCTAACTTTCCATTGAAATATCTTATGACCAGCCACAGGGGAAGGAGAAGGAAGAGAAACAGAAGATTCATGTTCTTAGTGACCTTTGTATCCTTCCAACATCTAATGCTTGGGCAGTGTTTTGTTAACTTTAAACAAACATATTCTAGTACCAAAAGCAAAATGCTACAGAAAATCTACAAAATAAATTATCAAAAATGCCGGAACTAAGAAATATCTTACTTGTTCATCAAATTCTTCATCTTTAGTTCAAATGTCTAGATGTATAATACTGAACCAATCAATAGAATAAAATCCATCTTTTCCCTTCTAGCAGTTCCACACAACCAGCCTGCCTATGATATGTGGCGTGGCACTATAATTATAGAAGTGTCTAGCAAACAGACTATTTAAGGCAACTCACCTTATATATTAAATAAACCCAAATGCTTATGTTACAACCCAGTTCAATCAGAAGCAGGCTTTGTGCATGAGCCCCAGATAGAAATCCCTTATCAAGGAAAGCTTAATCTATAACCACTATTCCAGACATGAGTCCAGCACCATGGAAGGGTGAAGCTGACCTCACCTTCATCTCGGGATACATGCAGCGGTGGACGGAAGGCAGCCAGTAGACAGGGGGCAGGCTGCTGCCTCTCCCAGGTCCTGCATGGAGCACGCCTTTCTTGTCTTCATAGAACGCAGCCAGATGAGAATAATGTCCCGGTGTCTCCAGCTGGTGCCTGACAACACACATACCCAGCGCGTGCACAGTGAGAATGGCTCTGGCTGAGCGCCACAGTTCACTCCTGCACCCCCACTGCTAGAGGGTTCATCAGAAGATCTGCACTTTGAGGCTGCCTTGGAGCCTCCCTTTATGTTACAGAACATCCTTCATGTTAGCCCAACATGAGTATTGCATTCTCTTTCTCATGGGAACACACACAAAATTAGCAGGCTGTGACTAATGTCTATTGTTTTTCAGCAAGGTAAACTAAAGATCATGTGTTGCTTCCCAGAGATTGGCTGTTTTCTGTAAGAAAGGATAACTTGGGTAACTACAAATTCCCTGGTCAATTCTTTGTGTCAAACTCATACTTGCTCTCTTTGTTGTTATAAAACAGCAGCGAGAAGTTTATGCCTCATATCCCAAATAAAGTACTGTCCTGAAAGAGTTAAAGACATCATATTACAGTGATACATGCATACCCATGATTACAGCAGCACAATTCATAATAGCTAAATCTTGGAAGCAGCTTATATGTCCATCAATAGATGAAAGGTACAGAAAATGTGGTATTTACACACATTGAAGTACTACTCTATCATAAAGAAAAAAACCAGTCATTTGTAGGAAAATGGATGACCTTGAGACCATGTTAAGTGAAATAAATCAAACTCACAAGCTGAATATCACATGGTTTCTTTTATATGAGAAACTCAAATTATAAATAAAGATCAAAATAAAAGATAATATAAAGAGGGGAAACAGAACAATTCTCAGATGGGAAGGGGCTCAAGACATGCAGGGAGAAGGGAGGGAGGGGAAGGGAAAGGGGAAGAAGAGAGAATAAAGATGTGTCATGTGTAGGTACCACCTCCACACAAGGAATGTGTACACTATGTACTGCAAACAGTCATGACTGGAGGTCACAGAGACCATAATCTCCCATCGAGTAGTAAAGAAATGAAACACAGCAAATGTTTTCTCCTCCCATCTTGGTCCTGTCCTCTACACAGATCAGAAGCCCTGTCAACTGACCCTCAAATCAAGAAAGTGGCACTGAGTTCCTACCCCATTGTACAACGCAGAATTCTGTTTCCAAGTCAAAGTACGAAGATGAACAAAGATGTCGGGGCTTAAATTTTGTCCCCACCACAAAAAAAGGTGGAATCTTAACCCCTAGTACCTCAGAATGTGACCTTACTTGGATAGACTTTAGAGAGGTAATCAAATTAAAAATGAGGGCACTGGAGTGAGGCCCAATCCAGTATGAAGACTTACAGAAAAGGAGGATGAAGGCAGGGTTTGAGAGGATGCATCAACAAGTCAAGGAGCACAGAAGACTGCCAGCAAACACTGGAACCCAGGCCAGCAGCAGGGGGCAGATTCTTCTTCACCCAACCCCGCTGACACCTTGGTTTCAGCCTTCAAATCTCTAGAACTGTGAAAAGGTAAGTTTCTGTTGTTCTAAGCCACCCAGTGTCTGGTACTTTGTTATGCAGTCCCAGCAAATAAAACGCCCCAATCCCTTTTAGCTCATTTTTATTTTCTTAGTGTCTTACAATTTCCGTAGAATAATGAAAAAGAAGCAAAATATGGCCTCCCCGAGCAAAGGAAAGGCATTCCTAATTATGACTGGCCCAGAACAAGTGATTTAAAAAAGGCCATTATCTGCCAGCAGCCCCCACCAACCTGCTGTGGCTTACTCTAAAATATAACACAAACTGTTCAGAATCAAGATGTCACTGACCGTTGTCGGGGATTTAGCTCAGTGGTTTCACCGCCTGCTGCGCAAGCGCAAGGACCTGAGTTCAATCCCCAGTACCAAAAAAAAGATGTCACTGACCAACTAGTAGCCAGGTGTTTTCCAAACACCACTCCAGAGTGATGTCAGACAATGGCAAGAGACTTTCGGGCAAAATTATATTTTAGAAAGAGAGAGTAAAAGAGCTTAACAACACTATATTTAAAAAATGATTGATAAAATAAGTTCCTCTCTCTGAGACAGCTAATTCCAGGCTTCCCACACATTTTGTTTTAAGCTTTGCACAAAAAGGTAGCCATGTGATTCAATAATAAGTGACCACAGGGAGTGCTTATGATCACTTGGAAATCCTCAGTGGCTAAGCTGCCTCTGGCTATTCTGAGAGAATGACAGAGAGGATGACAGATTTCTGACCTTCTTCAAGGATGTAGGTCAAATTAAAGGCAATGTGATAAATAGAAACTCACAGACAATAACTTCAAAGATATTTTCATTATAATCAATTGTCCCCCCCACCCGCAAAAAAAGTACTGAGAATCTCTATTCTCTATGTTGAAAGGGCTGAATCAAGGGTAATTTGTTTAACACTTTTTCATTTCCTAGGCTTACCGTTTGATTTGCTGCTCAACTTTCTTTTCTGTTTAACTACTGTATTTAGAGCAGGAATCTACAGAAAAGCTCACTTAAGAGTAATGTAAACAAAAAAGCTCCCATTAGGACTCTGATAGCTTCTCTCTGATGAGAAAGAACAAGGCAAAAATATGCAATACAGAACATGAACAGAGAGACATAAATATAAATTGGCACTTCCCAGATGAACGCTAAACAACCATTGTGTGAAAACCTCAGAATGTAACCATACTGTAGATTCTGCAATAAGCAAGACTGATCATCAAACCACAATAATGTAACCCAAAAAGTAATGAAGCAAGGCTGACAGTGCTGGAAGATAAGCTGGATTTTAAAGATGATATAAAAGAAGACCCTTCCGGTGTGATTATCTGTAAGGACATACAGATTAAGAAATCAGGAGGGCAGAGAGGATCTTGGCCTCCTGGAGCCCCACTCCATCCAACCCATGCCCCGCCCACCCACGACCAGCCAGCAGGGGAGGACTTCCACCAGCTGAGGGGTGCACTGCTCCATCCCGCCCTCGCCCCGCCCCCCCAGCCACCAGTTTAGCCTCTCAGGCACTTGCAGGCCCCCCCCACACACACACCTCTGGCCTCCTGGCTGTGCCTCTACCTGGTTCCACACTACAGAGGCACAGAGGATCATAAAGGCCATTTTCTGAGCTCCAAAAGATAAAGCAGATGTGAACAACAGAAAGAGGGCCTCTCAGGCTCCTTGATGAAAATTGAAGCCCACTGGAAAAGTGCAGAAAATCTCTGCAATAAAGGCACACCAGACCAACGTATAGGTAATTTGGAGGGATCATCACCTCCCATTGGAACCTGGACTATCTTCAGGGGATGGGCAGCTGGAACCTGCAACAGAACCTTGCAGAATTCAACCCTGCAGGAGGACAGGGAGCTCAACTTGGAACTTGCAGCCAGAAATCAGCCTGAATCTCACAGGTCTGCTACTGGCTTGCTGAGACTCATTGACTTATATCTGCACACGGCTGCCCACATTGTCTATTGTGACAGCGGAGACACACCTTGAAGGAGGCCCTCCATTTTTATTTTTTATTTGTTATTTTCAAAATTATTGTTTTGCTCTTATTTTTAATTTTTAATTTTTTTTCTACTCTTCAAATTTTTATTTTTCTCACCTTTTTTCTTTCTTTTTTCTTTCACCCTCCCTCATCTCTTTAAATGCGAGTACACACACTCC